GGACTTGGCCTTGGTTTAGGCCTGATGATGTAAATAGGCTTTACCCATTCTCAGATTAATGCCACAGCGTATCAGTAAATTCAGTTCGTTTCCTCCTTTATAACCAACCTCCCTACCTTAGACTGGATTTGTGAACTTTGAATTTATAAGCAAAGAATAAAGGAAGACAGGCAGACTAGAAAAAAAAAAAGAGCTAGCTTTGCGACTGAAACACTAAGTGGTAAACTTCTACTTCTCATACATGCCAAGTTTGTTCTTGCCTTCTGGGCCTTTATGTTCAGTGTTCACTCTGCCCCATTTCTGGTTCCTTCTCATCCTCCATGTATCAGCCCAATGCTTCTACAGAGGCCTTCCCCGATGACTTTCTAATAATGTCCCAAACGACTCCCTCCCCCACTCCCCAGCTCACCACCCTATGTCCTCCCCTCTCATTATCAGAAGTTTACTCCCCTACTGTCTACCATCATTACAATGCAAACTCTACTATACTTCTCTACTTTCATCACCATTATATCCAGGCATCTTAAAATATTTGCTAATGACTGAATAGAAAAGTGGTAGAAAATGATTAGGAAAGTACAAATGACCAACAGGAGGATCCAGACTGGGAAGTCCTGGGAAGCACCTGTGCCAAGTTCTATGATTACCTCTGGAAAAAAGAAGGCAGGGAAAATCTCTAATAATAAAAGTGTAATATTCTAATTAGACCGGACATCCGAACAACCTTCTGGACGAAGCTGGGGCTGCGAGGGCCAAGCCCCTTGCACGAATTTCGTGCACCAGGCCTTTAGTTAAGAGATAAATTGGACAAGAGAAAGGGAGGGAAAAAAGAAAGAAAGAAGAGCCTAAAGGAAAAGGAAGGAAGCTCTCTCCTTTGAATTCCGAGGCACTGTTTTACTTGCTGGGGAAATACAAATACGAGGTAGGGGTACTGCTAGCTTAAACTAAATGTATCTCATCCAGCTGATACTGGCTCAATTGCATCAGATTCTCACAACTATCGCCACAGCACTATGCCAAGTATAACCCGTAAAGGCAGGCTCTGACTTTTTTCTGGACTCAACCTTCTCTTGCCTATAAGGTCCCAGCAGTCTTTTTTCCTGAATAAATACCAGAGCCCCAGGCCTATGGCAATGAACTTTAGAAAATTTTCCATCCTTTTTGGGTTAGAAATTGCAACATTATCACAATACAATTATCAGCTGATTAAAATATAATTTAAACAGTACAAAGTTCACTCTCAGCTCCTGGAGGGCAGGGTAAGATTTTACACATCTTTTTGTTCCTAACAGTACAGACATATGTTCCAAATTGATTGCTTCAGTACTCTGTGACCAGAGATCCTGCAATAGCTCAGTCTATAAAGGTAAGGATTACAGTAAATAAAGATAAAATAAATTAATGACAGATAGGGCAGCAATTTCTTCTCAGGGAACTATCTTAATTACATTTAAAATAATATGATATAGATTTCTATTTCCTCTGTATGTTTAATAACAAAAACACTTTACCTAGATTCCATAGCATTTTGTAAAATGGGAAAACTTTCTATAAAATGAAGTCTAGGGTGGAATGAATGATAATAACTTAATGTTAGATTAATATTAAAATATAAAGGGCTTGCCCTAACCAGTTTAGCTCAGTGGATAGAGCGTTGGCCTGCGGACTCAAAGGTCCCAGGTTCGATTCCGGTCAAGGGCATGTACCTTGGTTGCGGGCATATCCCCAGTAGTGGGTGTGCAGGAGGCAGCTAATTGGAAGACAAAGTTCAGTATTAATTATACCACGTTAGGAGGAAAAATTGCTGATTTTGGGGGGTCTTTTTCTTTTTTAAAAATTATGTATACCAGGTTATTAATACGAAGGGCAAGGAAAATCTTACAACTTTTTGCCTTCGTTGTTTTATTAGAGAACATAAAGTTTTCAAAATAACATCTCTGAGAAATGAGGTTATTAAAGTTGATATAGCCTCCTACATATAGTATCTAACTACACAACAGTATCTTTCTGAATTAGCTTTATCATTTATAAGATACCTATTTAATAGTATAAATTTAGAATAAAGGAATTAGAATTTTGGTGTAATTTCAATCTACTCTGAAGTACATATATTTAAATTGAACATCTTTCATTCTTTAACAGGTATATATCCTTTTCATATCAATGCTGTTCTTAACTTAGATTTGGAAATAAATGTCCTATACCTCTAAAAGTCCACTAAAATTCAATTATCAAAGTACTTGTAACAGTTATGATATTAGTATATTTTAAAAGTCATATCACTATACTCAAGATTACATGGGGTTGATTTCAGTCCTAACTACATGTACTAAATTATTTTAAACATGAAATAAGTGTTTGGTATTTTAAAAGAAAATCTTTTAAAACACTCCAATTGAAAATAAAAAAATGAAATGATTAATTTCATTAAAGAAATAAAAACAAAAAAACCTACAAAATGTATATTTATGTAATCATTTATATATATATAAAAATAAACCTACAAAATAAATCTATAAAAGAATATTCTACCTCACAATAAGCAAAGCTATACAAATTTTTAAAAGATTTATGCTTCACTTTTTGAAGAGGCAAAGATGCATTGGCAACAGTGGAGGAATTAAAACACACAATTGCAGAAGTAATCTTACTGGAGGGAAATCTAATATGTATCAAAGTTTAAAATGTATACATCCTTCCGCTAAGTAATCTAAATTTTTGAGAAATTATGTTAAGGACATAATAGGACAAGTTCATCAAGATACAGATACAAGATATTTATAATAATGAAAAACAAGAAATGGCCTAAATGTCCATCCAAATGAAATTTTTAAAGTAGCTATGGTATATATGGAGGCATTAAAAAAACATATCAAAGACTTTTTTCCACTATTGAGTGAAACAAGCCGATTACAGCCAAGCTACATGGTATGATCACATTATAGTAGAGAAAGCAACAAAAACAGTATTTTATAGTGTAAATTTAGAAGAAAATAAGAAAAGTTAACATAAGATATTTGAAATAGTAGTTGTCAATTTAACTTCAATTTTCCAAGTTACTTTTGCCTTTTTGTCTTTGTTATTAATCCTCGCCCAAGGATACTTTTCTTTTCTTTCTTTTTCTTTTTTTTAAATATATTTTATTGACTTTTTACAGAGAGGAAGGGAGAGAGAGAGATAGTTAGAAACATCAATGGGAGAGAAACATCGATCAGCTGCCTCCTGCACATCTCCCACTGGGGATGTGCCTGCAACCCAGGTACATGCCCTTGACCGGAATCGAACCTGGGACCCCTCAGTCCGCAGGCCAATGCTCTATCCACTGAGCCAAACCGGTTTCGGCCCATAGATACTTTTCCATTGATTTTTAGAGAGAGTAGAAGGGAGGGGGAGAGACACAGAGAGAGAAATATCAATGTGAGAGAGCCACACATTGATTGGTTGCCTCCTGCGCTGGGGCCAGGGATCGAGCCTGCAACCAGTATGTTTGGTCCCTTGACTGGAATCAAACCCAAGGCCCTTCAGTCCACAGGCCAACACCCTACCCACTAAGCCAAACTGGCTAGGGTTCTTTGGACACCCCCCCCCCTTTTTTTTTAAGAAGAATGACTCTCTGTAAATAATAAACAATACATCAGCCAGGCAGTCAGTCAGTTTAGTATTTGAGAAAAAAACTGGGACTAGACAAACTTCACATGACTAACAGTGATCTTTGCTTGGCCTGAACAGGGATAAACAATGTCTCATGTACATCCATATGCCTTTCCACATATTACTCCAATCAAAGTGCACATATCAAATGCCTACTTTACCATGCAGGATATCATTATTGACAAATTACCACTCTAGGATCCTGATACGTAAAAAAACACATTTAATCTTAGTTTCAACTGTTCACTGTGTAATCAGGTTATTTCAAGTCTAAAACTACTCCATTTAAATATTTCTTCCCTTTTAAAAAATCCTCATAGAACTACTGAGAAATTTTAGTAGATAGCAACAACTATTCCCTGCTTTAAATATAGACTGGAGAAATCACATACAAAATCCTATATAAAAAAAGCCTAATATGCTAAGTGTCTGGTCGGCCATTCAACCAACCAAAGTGTAATATGCTAATGATATGCTAAGGACATGCACTGACCACCAGGGGGCAGATGCTCTGACTGGTAGGTTAGCTTGCTGCTGGGGTCCGGCGTATAAGGACTGAGCGAGATGGGCCAGACATGCCCAGGAGCCCTCCTGAGGTCCCTCCCCAGCCCGATCATGCACTGGTGGGGTCCCTCGGCTTGGCCTGTGCCCTCTCCCAATCCAGGCTGAGGGACCTCCCCCCCCAAAGGCACAAATTTCATGCACCGGGCCTCTAGTAGCATTATAATCTTGTGGCGTCTCAATTTCATTTCACTCTATGTATCTGAACAAAGAAAAGGTAACTGAGGACACAGCAACTTTCTTTTATCTTAACACGAGGTACCAGTGTATACATAACAAGCTGTGAACAACAGAAGCTCTGATACCAGAAACAGTCTTTACAATGCCAAGCAAAGAACAAAACATCTGGTTAGTTTTTAAACGAAATGGGCTGCTCTGCCCTCCATGTCAACCACCAAGCAACAGGCCTTTGATGTCTTTCCCATTCATTACTGATGTAGTTCTCAACATTTTCACTAGTTCCACCATCATTCTTTCTCCCCTCCCCATTCTTTCAAGTAACTCTGTCCATCTATCTGGTCACAGATACAATTAGCAAGCTGATATCACACAAGTTTCCTTTTAGTTTTGAATTTTTAAAAATGTTATGTAATTTTATTTTCTAATTTTAATATTTTTCCAGTGGAATGTTTTTCAAAACATTTAAACAAACCTTGTAATAGCTGACCTAGTGTCGAATGCTACATTTAGACATTTCTACACTAAACTAAACTAAAGCTTATTTTAAACTAATACTTTCATGTTATTGAATAAATTTCTAAGGATCCCAAATTAAAGAAATCATTAAAAACGTGATACAGTCTAGTGTTTATTTTATGTTGTGGCAGGTACACTTGATTTTCAAAAATTTAAAACATATAAAAAGTGGTTAGGGACTAACATTTTTATCAACAGTTGATAGTGTTTAAGATTATTTATTATACAGCAGGGTACAATGGTAGTGCTAATTCCAATAGGGCACCATGGAAGTTAGTCTAAAAATTATCACTAGGCTTTATACAAGCAACAACATATGTTGCTGTTTTAGAATTTCAGGACATAGTCTGCTTCTAATGCTAAGCAGTCCTTTAACATTTTTAATGTTATACAGTGTTATAGTATTTAGTTTGGCAAATGTTTCAAAATAAAGTAGAAATGTATTCATAACATCACAGAAATGCACATCCAGTTTTGTTTTCAATAAGAACCATAGGTACAGATCAGAACTCTTCCCTATATGAAATAATTTACACACAGATGAATGCTATATCACTACCTAAAATAATCACTAAATACAATTCTTTTTGAGAAATAAACAAGCAAAGGTTTTTCTCATTATCAAATATCAAAAACATAGAGATAATGTATATTTTTCAAACAAATGATACTCTAAAATTATAGGAATAATTTCTGTGAATTCAGTGAATGTGCAACCTAAATCAACCAAGTATATTGTAGTACAACTATATTAAGAAACCAATGATCAGAAAATACAACCATATGAAAAAAATTTATAATCCACAAAACTGTTTATCAGGCCTTAAGGTAAAATAGCTCCACAGTTTACAGGTAAAACCCAGGCAACAAAAACGCGTGCTTGTCTTCAATAAGTAGATATTTTATGCAGAAGATGTAACACTTTGCTTGTAGACAGCATGGTATGCATTTCTCAGCAAGACATAAGGAAAACAAGATTCCAAAAGATCCATTGTTAGGAATGGGGATTCCTGCACAATCTGGAAAATTCCAAAATGCATTAGAATTCCAATTATTTATTATGAGAACATTTACTGACAACTAATAACCATAATTTTACATTGTTACATTGTTCTTATTAGAAATAGACACAACTTATTTTCCCTTTACTTTAAAATCTGAAAGGTAAGTGTGCCATGCTGAATGCTCTCAGAAATCAGTTAACCAATGGGAACATACTACACACTTTCATAGCCTTCAACAATATCTATACTAATAAAAGGGTAATATGCTAATTAGACTGGGAGACCTTCCGGACAAAGACATGGTGACAGGGCCAAAGCAGAGGCGGTTAGGGGCCATCAGGCCAGGAGAGGAGGGCAGTTGGGGGTGAGCAGGCCAGCGAGGGGGGAAGTTGGGGGCAACCAGGCTGTCAGAGAAGGCAGTAAGAGGCAACCAGGCTGGTGGGGGCCAGTTAGGGGTGACCAGGCTGGTTGGGGGGCAGTTGGGGGTGACCAAGCCAGAAGCGGGGGCAGTTAGGGGTGATCAGGCAGACTGGTAGGCAGAATGTTTAGGGGCAATCAGGCAGGCAGGCAGGCGAGCAGTTAGGAGCCAGTGGTGCCGGATTGCGAGAGGGATGTCCGAATGCCGGCAGTTTTAGCTCTTCCAGTTTTCTGTAGTCTGACTCCATTCTGCCCATTTAATACAATTTTGCTGGCAGTCGGACATCCTCTGAGGGGTCCCAGATTGGAGAGGGTGCAGGCCAGGCTGAGGGACACACCCCACCGTGCACGATTTTCATGCACCGGGACACTAGTATATATATAAAAGGCTAAAATGCTAAGTGTCCCCTTGGGAGTTTGACCAGGAGACCAGGAGTTCGATCGCTCGCTATGACATGCGCTGATCACCATGGGGCGGTGCAGAATGAAGGCAGGCCCCAGCCGGCAGTTGAAAGACCTTGATCGGCCCTGATCACTGGCAAGGCCTAGGGACCCTACCTGTGCACGAATTTAATGCACTGGACCTCTAGTGTTAGACATAAAAGAGAATACAAACATTTAAAATGGCCATATCTTGAAGTCCAAATGGAGACCCAAGACTAGGCTACAAAGCAAAATTAAACATCAAATCAACTATAATTAAGTGGTGAAAAGCTGTAAGTTCTAGAGAAGTTCAAAAGAGAAGAAAGATTAACGTAGACCAGAGTAATCAGGAAAGTCTACCATAAAAAGATTTGAGCTATGGGGTATGCTGAATCATTTAGACACAGACCTCTGCAGGTAAAGGAAATTATTCTAAGTGAGGAAAGAGCTTCATGGTAGAAACAAGCACGGCTGGTTCATGGAAGTCAAGAGAAGGAATGCACTAGAGTATTATAGAAAATTGTATTAAATGGGCAAAATGGAGTCAGACTACAGAAAACTGGAAGAGCTAAAACTAATACACTAGGAAAATATAAGACTCAAGTGTTTCCCAACAAGTTAAAAAACTACAAAGAATACCTTATAGGTAATGCTAATCTTTTATTTTGTTGTTTTCTGATATGATTACCATACTGTAAAATACAGGTGATTGTCATTCTTTTTAGCAATTTTAGAAAGTGTGCGGTTTGGGGGAATGAGCACCAGGAATAAAAAAAAGGAACCTCAGCTCTTACTGATATTTAATCACTAAAAGCCAAGAAAAGACAATTAGGAATGGCTGGAACTTCTTTGTTGTCACTAAAAATTAAAATGAGACTTACCATATCTAGCAGTAAATAAACAGATTCTCTATTTCTTGTTGTTGTTTTGTCTGTCTCCTGGCCAATTTTCAGTAGACTGGAGGATGCAAGCTTAAAAGTATACACACATTTTAAGTAAGTTTTTTAAATAAAATGTTCACCAGTGACTTTTTATTTTCAGTATGCTTGAACTTACAGCATATTTTAATCATTCAGCTGCTTATATAATGAGCAATTAAATGACAAATAAGATTCTTTACATTCAAGCAATAATTTAGAGAGCTATCCTATATAATAAAAGGGTAATATGCACATTGACCCTAACAGGGGGAACGACCGGTCACTATGATGTACACTGACCACCAGGGGGCAGATGCTCAACGCCGGAGCTGCCCCCTGGTGGTCCATGTGCTCCCACAGGGGAAGCTCCATTCAGCCATAAGCCAGGGAGCGGGCCTAAGCTGGCAGGTGGACATCCCCGGGGGGAACGACCGGTCACTATGATGTACACGGACCACCAGGGGGCAGATGCTCAACGCCGGAGCTGCCCCCTGGTGGTCCATGTGCTCCCACAGGGGAAGCTCCATTCAGCCATAAGCCAGGGAGCGGGCCTAAGCTGGCAGGTGGACATCCCCTGAGGAGTCCTGGACTGCAAGAGAGCGCAGGCCGGGCTGAGGGACCCCCCCCCCCAGCCCCCGAGTGCACAAATCTTCGTGCACTGGGCCTCTAGTTAAGGCATAAACAGATACAAAAATAAATGTAATTGAATATTCTTATTGGTCTTTAAAACTGGTATTTTTCAGGAAAAAAAAAGATTTAATTTTTATCTTTCTTATATCTGTATTAACCATATTTCTTAGTTCCCAAATAAGAAGAAAATTTCACACCAAGTTTGAATTAATGGGACATTAGGACAAGTCTTGAATAAAAGAAATACAGGAAATGAAAAAAAAATTTTTAATCTCAATACTGTTTTCTTTGAAATAGACATTATTTTCTCAAGTTAGTACTATAATTGCTTTAAATGTTTTAAAAATAAACTTTTCTAAAAAGCTAACAGGATTTATAAGTTGAAAAGAAGCATTATTCTAGTGTTCATTATACCATGATGCATCTTTCCTTTAAGTAAAGTATGGAAAAGCTACATTGATAAAGGAAAGAGAGCTACACTAACATTAGAAACTAGAGCTATACTTCATGAGGCCAGAGTTAGCACAACCACCCTCTTTTGGAAGTAGTTTGTCATCATTTTCAGTCTTTCTCCAAATAAATGAATATAAGTAAAATATATCCTTTTAGACAGAACATCTTTTCTTTGCCTCAATTTTCCTTTGTTTTGTTTTTTCCTCTTTAAACCCTAGACAAAATTCTAAGGTACTACAAACATCAGCTTAGAAAAAAAGTCATCCTGCAGAACTCAAAAACTGGGAGACTTCTACGTTAAGGGGGAAAAATGCAAAACCAACTACTCCTTGATTTTAATGCCCTGCCTTACCTGTTCCTCCCCCTCGCCCCCCAAATTAGTTAATTAAGAGAATTTATTCTCTTACATCTCATAGTTATTTTAAATTTTCTTTATAAAATGCCATGAGTTTTGCTACTGATAATACATACCGCCAGAAATTCTTTAAGACGATCTTCAATGCTTCCTTTGTGAATTGTAAACAAAGCTGCAGCAATCTGATTGATGGCTTTGGCCAAGCAATGTATGTTATTGCAATGCCCTGAGAAAGTGCAAATAGGGTTTGTGGTTTGTGTGTGACCCCCAAATATCAACTAAGACATAGAGAGTAGATCTACATAAATAGTGACGTGATTAAAAACAAGGCTGGGGCATAATCTGCCTTGCTCTCCTTTCACTTATATGAGGACTAGTACTTTTAAAAATAGCATAGCAAGTGAGCAACAAATGATTATGTCTGTATTAAACAAGCAATTAAACCCCTAAAAGAAATCTTATATCAGTTTTATAATGTCTTAGACACATAAAAAAAGAAATGCTTAGCTGCTTTACAAACATTTCCTTAGCCAATCCTTAAAATAATCTTAAGAGATAGAGACTCCCTTCACCATCCATCCCCTGCCACACATACATTCAAGCACCCATAAGCTCACATAAACACGTTTCCTGTATCAGAAAATTGGGATTTAGAAAAAGAAATACCAACTATTCAGGTTACAAAGCTAGTAAATGGCAGAACTTAACCCACATTTTATTATAAAAAATATTAATTACTTGAAAAGTATCTGCCATATCAAAACTCTTAACTTTTCCATTGACAAAATAATTTTAGACCACAATTACCTTCTATAGCAGGGCTATACTGAGACATCACATTACTGGCCAGTGTTGGCAAAGAAACTGCCACAAAGACCATGAGGAGGCAGGCAATTTTATATTCTTCTTCTGGACTTATGTTTTCTAAGGGAGAAAAATTAAAAATAAAACTATTTCTTCTAGATTAGTTAAAGAGTTGATCATCTAAACCAGAAAAGGCAAATTTAAATTTTTATAAGGTATTTTACTTTGCCTCTACAGAACTGATCACAGTTTTGTTACAAGAAATACAGAATGAATATAAATAATATATGTTACTATTGGCTATTATCAATTCCCAGGGCATATTTCAAAGACTGCTAATATTTTTCTTTTTTTAAATTTTAAGATTATAGGGCAAAAAATAAATTAGGATAATTGGAACCCGAAATTTCCTTATTGAAAACTGATGATAAAATTATTTACAAGAAAATTCTATTTACTACAGTTTAGAAAATTTATTATCTCATAAAATCCTTAATATTTTTTTTATCTAAAATAGGTATGAATGTAATTTGAAATGAACTATTTAAAAGGTATAAATGTGTAAAGACTGGATTTCCAACCTCTCCATCTTAGAAGACAGAAGGAACCAGTCATACATGAAAATAACTAGCATTGCCCAAGGCTTTTAAGATATAACCCTTTCAAAAATATTTATTGTATTGTGAACCAAAATTGTGGATTATCTTGTACCTGGGAACTTCTAGTCACCCTACTATTCACTACCACATATAACTAAGAGTTGAACATAAGAAAAGAGCCAGAATATGTTTTTAAAATTTGGTTGGTTATGAAAAATACAGCTGTAGCAAATTAAGTAATAGTAGTAATTATCCATGTGACTATAATTAACATACTGCATGAATTACAAACATAAAGCAATATTAAATCAAAAAAGAACTGATGAACTCAGTCATACAGGCAAAGGACTAGGGGAGGGCATTTTAATACCAGAAACAGATGAAATGTTATCTACTTTATAGACAAATCTAGAAATATCAAGAGCATTCTGGGTACTACGTTTCACAGGGCTGGCCTCAAAATCTCTTAAATGTTTAATATTACATAATAACACACAGAATCTTTATGGTTAGTGGCTCTAGTCCTATTTAAAAAAAGACACCCTTTTCTAGGTATCATCTCCATTAGCATACAAATAAATATGGGCATAAACCTTTATTTTCCCACCTCAAAAAAACTTTCTCTTGATTTTACTTCTGCCTCCAGCTACTATAATTTTATTTCTTTGCTCTTTTTTAAAGTAAAACTCTGAGTTTATCTCTAAATCCTTTTCTCCTATTCTCTCTTAAGCCCTTGCTAATCAGCGCTTTGCCCTGGAAACGCCATTGACACTGCTCGTGTCAGCATCACCCATTAATTCGACACAGCTGATCATTCCCTTTCCACTTTCCTGGAAGCTACTGTTTCCTGGTTTTCCTTATCCTTTACTGGTTCTTCCTTCTCAGTTTTTTGTTTGTTTTTAGTAGTTCCTCCTCTTTTCTCTGAGCTCTTAAAGTTGAGAGCATCCCAGGGCTCAGACTGCATCGACTCCACTAAATGGATTTAGTAATCTAATCCAGTTTTATGACTTACATAATCTAATCTATATGATGACTATGCTGTAACTTAAGTTCCAGAATACAGAAATCTTTGTCTTTTCTGCACTGATATTTACCCCCCAAAAAGAAAAAGGCTTGACATAAAGTAGGCATTTGAATAAACAGATTAAATATCACATCTATATCTGTGTTGCTCTGGTAATTTTAACTAAGACTACTACATATTTACTAATGCATTTTACCTGATTTTTGTGAAGAGAGAGCTACAACAAGGGCAGGATCAATCTCACAAGGCAATCCAGCAGCTGATGATAACTCATATACATTCATTGCAACCTGAAAAAGATATAAGAATTACAGAGTAAGAGATATTCTAACAAATTTCTGAGAAATCTCACTTCAGTAAGAAAAGATATATTGTTTAAATTAGAGTTTGCCTACAATAACACTACAGAATTTTGAAAACTTGCTTGAAGCAGGAGGTACAGCAAAACTAAGCTACATTGGAGTAGATGATTTGGTACTTTGTGGTGTGTTGCTGCTGGTTATAACTTCCTACTGTTAGCCAAACAAAACTTGTATACTTTCTGTGGCAAATTCCAACAGAATCATTCTTAAGTTATTATTTTTCTTAGAAGCATGGATGTAAAATGTCAAGACAAAAGAGATGAATAAATGAACAAAAGTGAATCAAAGGTACTGGACTTATGTTTATATCCATATTTATTGAGTGAAAAATTATAGTGGCCTCATCATATCTATAATGTGATAAATTACTTATTATAACAGTTTTAGGGAATACTGATTTAAAACCTGATCAAGGAATCTCTAACGACTAAAGTAATTTTTTTGGTATCATATATGGACTCCAAATACTTAAGATATTCTGGCTGTTCCATACCTGTTAAAAACTACCTACATAATTGGTTACCTTTGATATTACAACAAAAAAGCATAAGGTATGAAGTAAAACTGTGTATCTTAAAATAAATGGAAATTTCCATGGATTAAGTTCTAGATAAACATACAGGTTTTGATCCATTATTCACTCTACCCACAAAAATTAACTCAAAATTAACTATAAAATTCTCAGAAGAAAATATAGGCATAAATCTTTATGACTTTGGGTTAGGCAATGGTTTTTTAGATAGAAGCAATAATAGAAAAAAATAGATAAACTGGATTTCATCAAAATTAAAAACTTGTTCTTCAGAGGACACTATGAAGAAAATGAAATAAACTCACAGAATAGAAAAGATTTGCAAATCATGTATCTATTAATGAACTTGTATCCAGAATATATAAAGAACACTTACACCTCAAAATTAAAGACAAACAACCAATTTGAAAAATGAGCCAAAGGATCTGAATAGACATTTCTCCAAAGAAGATATACAAACAGTCAATAAGCACCTGAAAAGATGTTCAACATATTTGCCACCAGGAAAATGCAAACCAAAACAATATTTCACACACACAGTGTGTGCCATTCCACACACACTAGAATGACTATAATTAAGAAGACAGATAATAACAAGTATTGACAAGAATATAGAGAAAGTGAAACCACCATATACTGCTAGTGGGAATGCAAAATGATGCAGCCACTTTAAAACCATATTGGCAGTTTTCCAAAAGGATAAAAAACACAAAGTTTCCATATGATCCAGCAATTCCACTCCTGGAATATATGCAAGAGAAATGAAAGCATATGTCCATACAAACACTTGTACATGAATATTGTTAGTAGCATTATTTATAATAGCCTAAAAGTGAAAACAATCCAAATGCGAATCAATTTAATGAATGGATAAATAAAATATGGTATACAGCCAGACAATGGAATATTATTTGGCAATGTAAAAATGAAGTACTGTCCAGCCGCAGTGGCTCAGTTGTTGAGCGGCAACCTATGAACCAGGAGGTCACGGTTCGATTCCCGGTCAGGGCACATACTGAAAGTTTGTTGGAATTTAAATACAATTATATCAGGTGCTAAGAGAATTAGATGGTTATGCAGAATACTAGTTAGTATTCTGCATAACCTGCACACCAGTGTCTTCTCAAGGACTAATTCGTCTTTAATGTTTTTTTAACGTTTTTCTACAGTGTTTCCACTTAAAAAATAATTTTGGCCCAGCCAGTGTGGCTCAGTGGTTGAGCATCGACCTATGAACCAAGGAGGTCACGGTTTGATTCCTGGTCAGGGCACATGCCCAGGTTGTAGGCTTGATCCCCAGTGTAAGGCATGCAGGAGGCAGCTCTCATCACTGATACTTCTCTCTCTCTCCCTCTCCCTTCCTCTCTGAAATCAATAGAAAATATATTTTAAAAAAAACACAAGATAGGTAGATGTGAGAATGCATACAGATCTGGTTATCTCATAGGATGTGCATGTAGAAGAGAGGGGTAGAGTTAAGAATAGAGTGGGAGAAGGATGGAACAAGCGATAGATAAGCTTTAAATTTGAGAAAAGACTCGAGTGTCATACAAGAGTTTAGAGAACCTTTTTCAGTCAGTGTTTTTCAAAATATGTGAAACCTAAAACAACCATTCCAAGAAACATAAAAGCTTAAAAGGCATCGGTCTGAGCTGACATGTCACTTACTAGATGTGTCATCCTAAAACAAAAATTGTGAAATTCACTTAAGGCTACCCACCTCCTATCTTATATTTATTAAGAACAAGATATTTTAAAAATTAAAATTTATATAGCCTACAATTAATTTTCTAAAATTTTTTTAACATCAATTTAAAAAACTGACTGGATTTATCTCTATTTAAAACAAAACAACGCTTATTTTATTACCTCATCTTCCTCATTCAGCTCATGACCAAGTAGAAACAGCTATCAGTTTAGGGAAGAAAAGATCAATATTGACCCATTTTACATTGGTAGAGATGATCAAGGAAGATTAACTTTAAAAATGCCTGCTTATTATTTTGGTGCTGAGCTTTCAAAGATGCATTTTCAAAGGCAAGCATGCTCACTAATCACTCTAAAATAGAAACTTTACTATAGTTTGGGATTTATTAAATTTTATTTCATATGCAACTGAAAAATATTTCATTTTAGAAACTGTAAAATCCAAATAAAAGTTTTATTACCTTCATATCAGTTTCCCTTGGAATGTGGTCCTTGAAATCTTCAATTGAACTTACAAGAAAAGGAATGTGGTAGGACAAGACCTACACAGGACAACAAAAAAGAACACAGCATTATTTTTAAATGGCAGCCTCTAAATTTATGAAATATTACCATTTGATTACTTCTAGTTTTCATAGAAATTACTTTTCTTTATCTATTGTCATGTAATCTTCAGTACTAAGATACACAGAAATGAAATGTATGTATTCAATGCCAAACTGAATACAGGCAAATGGAAAATGCTTTAATGAAAAGTTGAAAAAGTAGCTCAATATCCAGGCAAGTTATACCCCCTGAATTTCAATACCAAAACAAAAAAAGTTTAAGTATCTTTAATTTCTACATACTTTATTTTAAATGACTATGAGAACTGGAACTTTAATTATATCACTGCCTACTATAAATTTAGAGTAACTTTTAATTTCTGGGAAATTAAAAGGGATTATCTGAATATAGCATGTGTACTTATAATGGTTTCTTACATCTCTAAGTGCTTCTTGTGCCAATGAGCGGAAGGATAAAATTACACCAATTATTGTCATCCTCTTCAAGACACTGTCAACAGCTAAATTTGAAGGAAGGGGAGAAGAGAGGAGCATGAATTAGATTCTTTCTTAACCTTGAAGAAAACTCTTAGTCATAAAATTCCCATGATAAAAGGCACAACTAATAGCATTTTACTATAACAAATGATTAAAGAGGCAAATGTATTGAAAGCTGATATAAAAATTAATCATAGTTTACTGCAAATGGAATATACTCTATTCTTCAAAATGGTTTATCAGTGGTTGGCAAACTCATTAGTCAACAGAGCCAAATATCAACAGTACAACGATTGAAATTTCTTTTGAGAGCCAAATTTTTTAAACTTAAACTATATAGGTATGTACATTGTTATTAACTTAATTAGGGTACTCCTAAGGCTTAGGAAGAGCCACACACAAGGGGCCAAAGAGCCGCATGTGGCTTGCGAGCCACAGTTTGCCGACCACGGGTTTAGATGGTTAACCAGACTCTTGAAAAAATCATATGTTGAAATTCTAACTCCCAAAGCTGATGGTTTTAGGAGGTGGGACCTTTGGAAGGTGCTCAAGTCAGGAGGGTGGAGTCCTAATGAATTCAATTAGTGTCTTAAAAGAAGCTACAGCGTGATATCCCTAACCCCTTACATCATGTGAAAATTCAGTGAGAAATCTGCAACCCTGAAGAAGATCCTCACATGACCATGTTGGCACCATTATCTTGGACTTCCACAACTGTGACAAATAAATTTCTATTGTTTATAAACTACCCAGTCTGTAGTGTTTTGGTTTAGAAGTTCAAATGAGTAAGACACATCCCATAGAACTAATACTAGAGCAGTGATGGCGAACCTGACACACGTGTCAGAGGTGACACGCGAACTCATTTTTTTGGTTGATTTTTCTTTGTTAAATGGCATTTAAATATATAAAATAAATATCAAAAATATAAATCTCTGTTTTACTATGGTTGCACTATATGTGACACGGCACCAGAGTTAAGTTAGGGTTTTTCAAAATGCTGACAGGCCGAGCTCAAAAGGTTTGCCATCACTGTACTAGAGCAATGGCTATGTGGGTCTTGGGCTAGGCAAGCAAAAGGTAGTGGGAGACAGGACAGAAAAGAATGGCTGGATGTGAAGTTTATCCAAATAATGGTTTCTGAACACTATGCTAAGTAGTTTATACTATCCTTCAAGCAATACGTGGATTATTCAGGGTTCTCAAAAATATAAAGAATGATATGAAAAGAAGTATGTTTAAAAAATATGACTCTGAATGTCAGAGACAGGTTAGAAAGTGAAGACTGAATGCATGTTAAGAAGCCATGACTGGCCCTGGCCAGTGTGGCTCAGTTGGTTGGAGCATCATCCTGTTCACCAAAAGGTTACCAGTTCCATTCCCGGTCAGGGCATATGCCCAGGTTGCAAGCTCGATCCCCGGTTAGGGGGCAGTGGATCAATATTTTGCTCTCACATCGATGTTTCTCTCTCTCCCTCTGCCTTCCTCTCTCTCTTTAAAAATCAATTTAAAAAAAAAAAAAAAAGGCCATGACTGTAGTTCATGATAAAGCCATAAACAAGAACCACAGGAGTAGATTTGGGAACATAAAATGATGAAGTAGACAAGGTGAAAAATAGAATAGTGAGTGGGAAAGACTGGAAAAAATTTTCTAAAGGCAATAACTACAGATTAGTTCCAGCCAATCACTGCCATAATGGGGAGAAATACTGCCCATTATTCAATTTGCTCAGGTCACATAGTTAGAAAGCCTAAAACTGAAAATTACTTCCAGATTGCCTTTCAATTCAGAGCTACTTTTTAATAAATAATATTGCTTTTCCTTTTTAAGGATGTTTGTTGACTGTGAAAATCAAACTATTCTAAAAGTACATCAACTTCTGGACATGGGGTAAAAGAAGCACGAAGGTAGAGGTTGGAGACAAAAGAGAGCAATCTGAAAAATAGTTCAACTGAAAATGTAGCTTTCTCTATTTCCCTGAATAAGGTACCCTTAAGCAGATTTTTTTTCAAATTCCAAAAAACAGCCAAAACCGGTTTGGCTCGGTGGATGGAGCGTCGGCCTGCGGACTCAAGGGTCCCAGGTTCGATACCGGTCAAGGGCATGTACCTTGGTTGCGGGCACATCCCCAGTGGGAGGTGTGCAGGAGGCAGCTGGTCGATGTTTCTCTCTCATCGATGTTTCTAACTCTCTATCCCTCTCCCTTCCTCTCTGTAAAATATCAATAAAAATATATTAAAAAAAAATTCCAAAAAACGATTTAATAAATTATATCTAAAGATAAATTTGATATATATAGGTATTAAAACAATAATTTATCTTTTGATTTTGGCCAATTACACAGGTCATGAATCACCACTATTATAGATAAAATTCAAGTAAACAGACTCTAAATAAAGGATGATGAATTTTATTTTGAAACCTATAAATTCTGGTTGGAATTTTAACAAATTCTATGTTGTTTCAATTCCACAAATAGGAGAGTTAAACTAACAGTAAACAGGCATTGAACAGTGCAGTAGCTTAGTTGTTTCTAACCAGATGCTCTTTATGAGCAGAACATTAACTAGGGTGAAGACTAGTTGGGTGTTCAAATGAGTATTATAAAATGGGACAAACACGAAACATACAAAAAAGTTAAGAATAAATTTAAAAAAAGACTAGAAAATACAAGTACATAATAAAATAAGAGATCAAGTAGATATTTAACAATTTCTTGCTAAAAAATGTATTCACTCTCCTCTTCCTATTATGCTACCAAGTCAATTTTTTCTTTAATTTCATTTTTTAAGTACCATACAATAAACCATTACCTTTTTCCCCCCTTTTGGTATACAGCTCTAAGAAAAATAATTAACATGTGTAGATTTGTGTTATCACCATCATCACCACTGTGATGAACAATTTCTTCAACCTAAAATACCCCCTCATTGTTTTCTGTGTATAGTTCTGGCAACCACTGATCTACTCTACAAGGCAAACTGTAGTGTAATTTTATGCTAATTTATATGCTAAGTTTATATTTTTTAAAGCAAGATAAGATAGCTTAATAAAATTTGATATAGTTGTAAAACATTTAAAAGAAAAATATCAAAGGCAAAGTATGTAAAACACATGAATGGATCACTTTTTATTTTCTTAAGAATTACTTTTTATTTGGGAAAATAAACTTTCTGGTTTTCTCAAATACAAAGACTATTTTTTTGGAATTTCACTAATTTTCTAATGTTGGGAAGCCTTTAAATGAATCAAAAGAAGCATGACTTTAAAATAGTTTATAATTATAACTTTAAGTTCAAGTACAAAAAGCAAGTGAAAATAAAATTAATTCAAGTGCATCTAAAGAAGTTATCGGGCTAAACATACTTTATTAAATATTTAAGATTCACTCTTATTTCACAATATACCTCCCACAAAAAACTCAATGTCAACTGTCAAAAAGACATTGAAAAGGATTTTTTTTTAAGGTGTAGGCCCAGGTTTTCATGCAATGAATACTAGTTAGCAATAAAAAGGAACAAATTACTGATTCACTTAACACAGGTGGGTAAATCTCAAACATATGCTAAAGTCAGACACAAAAAGAGTATGACTTAGTTTATATAAAATTCTAGAACAGCATATTTAATCTATAGTGATAGAAATCAGGTAAGCCCTCTGTATTGGGGGCTGGGATGGACACTGACTATACAGGGACATGAGGAGACTCTGAGGTGGCGGGACTGCTCTACGTCTTGATTACAATAGTGACTACATGGATGTATGCATTTATCACAATCCATCACACAGTTCACTTAAGTGTGTGCATCTATTATATGTAAAGTGTACCTCAATCAGGTTTATTTTTAGAAAGTGACAGACTCAAAAGTTAATTCTCCTTTAATCCAAATTAATATAGATTTACTGTATTCAATTTAATGGGTTCATGAACTAACTGTTAATATTCAAAATATTTGACACATGGTACTAAGAATACAGTAAAAAAATTGTGAAACAGATACTTAAATGGATCCTTTGAAAAATTTTCCAGTTCTCTTCATAAGCTAAAGAGTACTTATTCATAATTTATTACTATACCTATGTTTACAAATTTTAAGCAAAAGCTAAATACTTTGGTCTTCTTAATGCTTCTAAAAAGTATCAGAAGTTACCCACATGATAATCTTTTAAAGAGTGCAGCCATCTGGTCTGGTTTGTCAAAGCTGGTCCTCATTTGTGTTAGCACATCAACATTCTCCACCACAAGTTTCTAAAAAAGAGAAAGATCCCAGGTCAGACATAGATCTCCTTGTGTTAATGAGATAAGAGCATGCTTGGATATTACAATCTGGCATGTGGGAAATACAATTCATGAAATCCAGATGCTCTATACTATATATTTTTGTTGTTATTTTAATAAAGGAATCTTAAAATTATTTACACAGGCTTAATGTTTTCTTCAGTTTGCAAATTCAGGAAGAGGAGTTCAGGAAAAAAGCCATAAAGATAAGTAGTAGGATAAAGGATTATCTTATCCTTAGACACAGAACAGCATCAATAATAAAAAGCAGACACGGAAGTGGATATAGAGAGCAATAAATTCCACCAAAACAACAACTGACCAAAGACAGCCTAGAGTTCATTGCTGGATATATACAATCAGAAGGACAATAACTTGTTAGGGTATGGTACCACTTCAAGGAGATGATAATAAAGCAATATTTTCCAACACAAATTATCAAATGGAAGTGTCAACTATGTACCTTCTCTTTCATAGACCATCCAGAGAGAAAAGGAGAGAGAATAGAAAGAAAGAAGGGATATAAATAAGGGAAGGGAGTGAAGGATAACTATTTAAGAAAATCTCATTAAAGAATGTTTTGCTTAAAAGAAACACTGGAAAGTAATTTAGTTTAAAAATTACAACTAAGACAAATGTAATTAATTTGAAAAATAACAGACACATGTATTTGGAAAGCTTAGATGTATGTATTTGAAATATGCAGGGATGAAGCCTGGATTTTGATATATGTAATTGTAAATACATATATCCAGGCTTTATCCCTGCATATTTCAATTCAGCAGGTCTAGCTGCAAAGATAAAGCAAGCATACTGTTAAAGTGCCATAGCGGTTTTGTTACAAGCCAAGGGCTAATGACATCTGATTTAAGGGGAGCAAGAAAAACTATACAGAAAATCTATAAAACTCATTTTTCCTATACTCATATGCATTTGGTTTAGGTTTCTTGATATTACTTCAGATTATTTCTCTTTATGCTCCCAACCAAATGTTCTGCTTCAGTCACATTTATGTGCTAAATTCAAGTTCTATAGTCTCTGATCAGAATGCCTGCTTTTTCTGGGGCCAATACCATACTTGTCTCATTCTAAAACTTGATTCAACCAATATATGTTCAAACTACATACCCAATCCTGGCACTACTTATGCACCTTGAACATAATATCACATCAGTGACTCAAAGACACCACTGAATTTTAAATTCACCATTACCTTATGTGCCACTAAGAAAAACAACAACACTCTACCAATTAAATTTAAATGTTTTCTAATTAGCTGACTATAAGATGCATACAATTTCAGAAATATAGGATAATTGTTTTAGAATTAATAAATTACAGTATATATTTAATAATAAGAATACTGTAATCATTTTTAAGCTCCTGTACAAGGCAATTTACAAATAACCTCATTTACTTGGATCCAAATGAGGGAGAGGATATTCCAATTTTACAACAGAGGAAACTAAGGCTCAGAGAAGTTACATAACTTGCCCAAGTGGCAAAGATTTTAAGTGGCAAAATTTGGAATCTGAATATAGGTATGTTTGATTTAAAAATCCAGCCCCTTAAACACTAAAGAAATGGTTTCCGATCTTCAGTGTACATCAGAATGATCTGGAGAACTTTATTAACAAAACTGATATTGCTGGGTCCCAGCACCACATGTTCTGATTCAACAGGTCTGAAATAGAACCAAAAAAGGTGCATTTTTAACAAGTGCCAAGGCAATGCTGCTGATGACGATCTGGGGAAAATTATTTAAAGGCATTGATTAATATCACTGGTGAATGAACTGAACACTGGAAGTAATACTAGGAATTACCAACTAAATCAGTGATGGCGAACCTTTTGAGCTTGGCATGTCAGCATTTTGAAAAACCCTAACTTAACTCTGGTGCCGTGTTACATATAGAAATTTTTTGATATTTGCAACCATAGTAAAACAGAGATTTATATTTTTGATATTTATTTTATATATTTAAATGCCATTTAACAAAGAAAAATCAACCAAAAAAATGACATCTGATTTAAGGGGAGCAAGAAAAACTATCCAGAAAATCTATAAAACTCATTTTTCCTATACTCATATGCATTTTCATATACTCATATGACACGTGTGTCATAGGTTCGCCATCACTGAACTAAATGGTTTAAAATGAACTGAGACAAATCACGTGAAACCAATCAAGAATACTAAAAAGAAAAAAAGGTTTCCTGTGAAAAAAGAAAGTTAAAGTCTTGCTTGATACAATTCATATTTCAATTTCCTACTTCATTTGAAAAAAAAATCTACTAGGGCTCTGTGAAGAACTAAAAGAACTCATCTGTAAAATGCCAAAACAATTCTTTTGGCAAGGTTGGAAGAATAAATTGACTCAACAGGCACAACTCCAAATGAAACACCCCAAGAATTTTAGTAGAAAGAAGACTGGTTGTTTTCTTCTCCAGAAAGTAATAAACATGTTTTACCACAAGTACACATGCATAGTGTTGACTATGTCTGACACATGATTTATTCACAACCATTAAGTATAAAGCTCTCCTTTTTTATTGGCACACAACTTTACTGTTTGAAACAAAAAGGTCCTCAGCTCCAACAATTAAAGCCATCCATAAGATGAAGAAGATGTAGGCACATAATATTTAGTTTATGTCAATTTAGAAAATAAAAGCTAAGAAATTATAGAATGATTTTTTAAAATTTTAATTCCCCCTAAATCATTTTATGCACTAATTTCAAACAGACTAAAATGCTGTTAGAGGTGTCATCATGCTCTAATGTAAGTATGGGCTACAATATCTTCAGAGAAATATTTGATAATATTAAGAAAACTTTTAAATGTTAATATCCTTTGATCCATTTTCAAAAATTTGCTGGTTAAATATAGAGAATTCTCTCTCTCAATCTCTGCAGCAATTCTGCCAGGAGACAACCCAGAACTGAAAGGCCCATAGCATGTCAGCCTGGGGGATGGCCCTGCTGGTGTATGCTGATGCTGCGGGAGTGGCACAAGTAGGGGAGAGCGGGTGGGCAGGTGTGCATTCACAACAAAAGTTTTTAAACATGTGAATTGTGATTTTGTCAAAGGTAGTCTCTGCCTCTTGATGTAAGAATAAGGACCAATAAAAAATTACTATTTAGCCCTGGTCAGGTAACTCATTTGGTTAGATAGAGCACATTAACCATACACCAAAGTTGTGGGTTCAATCCCAGTCAGGACACATACAAGAATCAACCAATGAAAGCACAAATAAGTGGAACAACAAATCAATGTTTCTCTCTCAAATTAATAAGTAAAAAAGAATTTTAATTATTATTTAGATACCATGATTGACCAGGCTGCTTCATTTTCAAAAAGACCAGATCATTCAGCTAGGAAAATGTAATATATGTTCTTGCATCAGATAAGGGTGGGTTAGATGACTGCTTAGAACCCTTTCGTTTCTAAGACAGTACAGTAGCACTGTACCAGTGTAAAGCTCTAGGGCTAGATAAGACTATATAGGTTCAAACTTTAGTTTCACCACTTTAAGCATGTGAGCCTGGACAAGTTAATCATTCTTGGTCTCACTTTTCTAATTTGTAAAACAGGGACAATTCCAGTTTCAATGATTTAAAGGAGTTAATAATATGTATGTTTAAAGTTTATAAAAGTCCTAGAACAAAGTAAAGAGTCAGAAAGATAGCTATTTTTATTTATGCATCCAACAAATATTTACCAAGCATTTACAATGTGTTGAAAACTAATTTAGCACCAAGGTTTTAGGAGAATTAAATAAAGTTTTTACTCTAGTGAGACTGGCATTAGCAAATACATAAGGGAGGTCGCAAGTAAGATACCCGTAAAATTGGATAAAGAGAATAAAAAGTGATGATTAATTGCGATAAAGTCAATTTTATCCCGTAAAATTGGATAAAGAGAATAAAAAGTGATGATTGCTATTTTTAAAAGTGTAGTCCAGGAAGGATATTCTGATATGATGACATTTGAAAAATACAGGAATGTTATGAGAAGGCAATCTAAGGCATTATCTCTGTGAAGAGTATCTGAGGTGACACAACAAGCAGGCCAAGTGGGCTGGAGGAGTAAAGAAGGTCCGGAAAAGTGAAAGGCCAGATCCTACAGAGGCCTCTAGGACTGCTAAGGACATTGATGCCTTTGAACTCTCACAGATAGGAATACAGAGAGATCTAAATAGGCTAATTTTTATTACTTTATCACAATACTCAAACCACTATCTTTAATGGCAAAGAAGCACTAAAAATGCTAACAATTCTGGAAGTACCTATTTATTCAGCTGAAATAGAAAATAATTGGCAAAAGTAAAATTACTGGGCCACAATTCTTCTATTATCTCATACTAAAAGGAACATAGAAAGTAAACTGAAAATTAGAAATTTGTTACCTGAGAACAACAACATAGAAAAGAGATAATGTATTTACAAGGGAATGAGTCTAATAAATGAGAAATATTGCTTGTAAAAAAATGAAACTAGCATCGCAATGTTTGTATATTTAAAACCATAGTAAGTATAAAGTCTGTGTATTTAAAACCCACAATATAAAGTATCTAAAAGCTGGCTTCTATATAAGAATTGTAAAACATTCCTTTAAAAAATAACAATAGAGAATAATGACATGATGAATACCAAAACAATATTTATTCAGTACTTATTGTGCCAGGCAGCATGCTAAGTATTCAAGCAATTGACATGTATTAATTAGCTCATATAATTCTTGCAAAGTAAAAGTTTTGTAAGTTTAAACTTTTCCCAAAGTCAAAGCACACGACTGACAGGATTGAATTTCAGGATAGCCAGACTTGAAAGCTTGAGTCCTTAACTACTGGATAATACTGCCTCTCTTTTTAGTCACACTGACTCTTGCCGTCTATTTTATTCGCTCAGCAAAATAGTTATCAAACTTGCAGGAATTGACTTATCCTATGTTTGCTCAATTTTCAATAAATCAGGTCACTATTTGTAAAACAGAACAAAACAAAGATGCTATTAAAAGACCATGCTAGGCCCGGCCAGTGTGGCTAAATGGTTGAGCATTAACCTATGAACCAAGAGATCATGGTTCAATTCCCAGTCAGGGCATATGCCCAGGCTGCAGGCTCGATCCCCAGCGTGGGGTGTGTAGGACGCAGCCAATCAATGATTCTTTCTCATCACTGATGTTTCTATCTCTCTCCCTTTCCCTTCCTCTCTGAAATCAATAAACACATATTTTTAAAAAGTACTTCAAGACCTTAAAAAAAAAAAAGACCATGCTAGTGCTATAATTTCACTTACATATGAGAACTTTCATGTCAGGTTAAAGAAATAGACCTTAAAAAAAAAAGACCATGCTAGTGCTATAATTTCACTTACATATGAGAACTTTCATGTCAGGTTAAAGAAATTAACATTCTAGGCTTGCTGCTCATTTTCTTGAAATGTTTTTTAGGAATTCATTTTTATAAGCTAAAATTAATAAAGACTATATTACCTTAAGTTCAGCAACTTGTGATGAAATATGCCACATAAGGCTTTCACTTAGGAACTTCATACCATATGGGCCTAGCAGTTCTGATAATGACCTCATTTCTGAAAGGAAATGCAATTACTTTTATACTTTGACACAGCAAATACTTTTAAAAAATAAACATTAACATATTGAGACATTACATTATAGAAGCAAATTACTCCTGAGAAGTCTTTAGAGTAGAAACAAACAAACAAACAAAAAACACAAATGCAAAGGTAAGTATATAATGTATGACTGTGCATATAATTGAATGAAAATAGTCATAATAGAATCAAAAGCCAAAAAATCATTTCTTCATTCTCTAAAACATGTCATAGTATTATTCACCTGATATGTCAGAATATTCCTCTGCATTGAATGTTAATTCATTTTCTGTAGGTAAGTTCACAAATGCTTTCATTGCAGGGAAATAAGCTATATGACCATTGCTGACTTGTCTTAATAAAGTTTCCAAATACCTAAGGAGAAAAGTAAATTTATAACCAGGAGAAACTATTCAATTCAAAATGTATTATGGTATATATTCCTGAATATAATTTTAAGTTGGCTAATAACATGAATGAGCACTTATCCATAAAAAAAAAACTTTCCCAAGTAGTTCATTACAAAGAAACATTGTCTCAATCCAAATTTCCAAATGTGTTCCTTACCAATTTGTGTATAGACTTGTAATGGTTGGCTCTCCATGACTGTCTAAATGTTGTGTTTGCTGAAGAAGAACATTATTAAATACTCTTGTGATATCAATTTGCACATAGTTTTCTATCGACTGCAGTACAGTCATATATGCTCTTACACTTGTTAGAAGCTCTGATGGTTTTGCAATTTCTTGTGTGGCTTGATTATACATAGTCATTCCAACAATTGACCTGAGGTTTAAAAAAAAAAAAAAAAAGAAGAAAAGAGTTCTGACTTCTGCATTTACAAATATAGTCATTCAACCTACTAATCTTTAGTATCAAATAAGCAATAAAATTTTAAATACAAATTGTTACAAAGCCATGAAATTACTATCATTATCTTCCAAAGAAACAATCTAAAAAAACAATGACTACCTAAAAATTACAATGAAATGGCAATGCAAGTGATTTTAAAAATTCTAAAGACATCAGTAATAAAATGATTTAAGGATAAATCCCTTTGACATAATACATTATAACAAGACAAACCTCATTGCTAGAAACCGTCCAAGGAAATTAACTCAAGACAAAAATGCCATTCATGCATATGGCCCCTAAGTCCTAAGATTGTGCTCAAGTGTTAACTAAAATCATCAACTAATACAAGCTATACATGGTGGCATAAAAACCTTTCCTAGGTAAACAAGTTTACAGCCTTGTTTTGATCTTGACCACTAAGGAGATAGATGTTTGGTAAAAAGAGTATCTGCTTCTCTGTGGATTAATGGACCAGACTACATATTTACAGAAGGAAAACATGGGAGCTGTAAACTGAATCCTACCTTTCACTCACCACTCTACCCACCTTGGTAGTTAAGAATAATAAATACCAAAGGGCATAATTTCCCTTTGTCTTAAATATTAGAGCATTCTGAGTTTTACCGTCAGGATGCCTGCCTTACTAAAGGACAGCAAAAGACAGTCTTTGTTCCAGACTAGACTCTTCTCTAGTCAATTGATGACTTAACATTCAATTTAGTGCCCACGTATACATTCTCCTATTTTATTCTATAATCGTAGAATTCTCACCAACTATAGCTCTAAGCTTTATGTTTCATTTCTACTCATAGTACTTAACACAATGTTAAACATAAGGTACAAAGACTACTTGTTAATGACTACAGATTTTTTAAAAATCTTTGGCAAAATGTTGTTTTATAAATTGCTTTAAGGCCTTCAAGACAAACTTGTCCAATCAATCAATATTTTCTTTAATAAATTTGTAATTTTACAAAAAGGATTAAGAAACATTTATAAAGTTGAAAGGTTTCTGACTTATCACATGCAATATCATTTCAAGAAACATTATATATAACCTATAAAACTATAATTAGGACTAAGTACCTCAAGAGTCTAGATCTATTGGCCTAACAGCACACATCTGAATCCAGAATAGACTTGAGTTCATCTAGTCCTGAGGTTTTTGAACATTTAAATTTGACCCCTTATAAGGTATGTATCCAGCATCACAACTCAGTACACTCATGTGTACATACATAACTGAAAAGTGTCATGACACAATACTTACACTTACTACATTCAATGCACTAATTTTTTTCTACTTCTTTCTTTCCTTCCTTCCTCTTCTTTCTTTCTTTAAATATTTATTATAACCTTGTAATCTGATTTCATGACCCCACAGGATTGCCACCTGACAGTTGAAATACACTGATTAGCTCCAGTTTTCTCATCTTGCTTATAAGGAAACTAAGGCTCACTGAGATGAAGTGGCTTGTCCAATGTTACAACTGGTTAATAACAGCAAGTATGGGACAAGAATCGGAGTAATTTAAGTAATTCCCAGTTCAGTATTTTCATACTTCCCAGATCATCATTCTTTATATTACACCAATTCTACTAATGCTTTTCGTCATAAAAGGAAATATTGTGTGGGTATGAAGAATAAATATAACAAACTCATTAAATGAACAAACAAGCAAAAATAGTTAATGTTTTTTCTTACTTAGTAAAGCGGATTTCCAGGTGAGAAGTCAAATATTCTCGCGGGGTAAAGGTATGTTCCCAAACCACCATGTTTGGTACATAATTTATAGAGAAACACAACTCAGAAAGTGCAGTGTGCAATTTATCAAGGCTGAAAAAATATTAATAAACAATAAACAAAATGTTCAACATTTTATCATAACAATACAAAATTAATTTTATAAACATGTGAGATCTTATTTGGGGATAATAATTATAGAATTCAATTTCTCTCCTAAACAAAGTTCAAAATCTCAACACATGAGAGCAATTTTCTAAAGATAAGCAACATTCATTTCTATCTTCAGATGATAATGACTTAATACACAAAAAAGAGCTTATTCCACACTCATAAAGATAATCATTTCCAACTTCTATTGTACTTTCTGTTGTGGAGGAAGAAAGTTGTCTACAAAATGACAAATAGCTTGCTCAATGTAGGAAGCAAGGAAGTAAGAAATTTACTTTAAGCAAAAAAATATTCACCCATTATTGCCCACCTATGCCTCTTTCTCCAGGTAAGCAAACAGCCCTATTCTGATATATCCATTTTAAACTAATGGTATCAGTCATACACACCATATGCCAAAATAAAGTCTCAGATATCTTATTTTAAATACAATGAAAATAAAAGTGCACCCCTAAATTTTTAGATTCCTGGCCTTTAGTATTCTGTATATAAAGACAAGACAATTATCATCTATTACATCTATTTTCTTCAAAACTCCAAAATCTGTATTTTTAGATGAAATAAGCACTAAATGGTTAATCAAGTCCACAAAGGTGAAAAAAATTAATGACTGGGAAATGGAGAATTTACAATTACTAGCATTTCGTTAATACTAATGCCATACAAAAATAAACTGAAAAAATAAACTGTAGCAAAAATATATATAATAAAAGTGGATGGCTTACTTGGTCACTACCAGCCTGTTTTTCCTCATGCTCTCAACTCCAGGTTTTTCCCTTTCAGGTTCCCCTTTTTTACCAGTTTGTTTTTTTGACTTCTTATTCACTGCCTGACTAATGGTTTTGGCACAATGCTTGGGCAGCAACTAAATTTAAAAAGAATAAAATGTTACATTACACCAATTACTTTGAAAACACATTACTTATTCAGATAAACCTTAACTGAATCCAGTCTATGTAAGAAATATCATGCTAGCACTAAGAACAGAGATATAAATAAAAAGTAGAATTTACCTAGCTTCGGGAGTCTAAGCTTAGTGGAAAACAGAAATAGGTAAATATTGTGTGAAGAAAGACTTCATAGAGGAAGTTATATCAAGACTGCAGTTTACAGGATAAATGAAACATTTTACTGGAAGGAAAATGGCCTACGAAGAACAAAACTATGTTAGGACATAATGTGTTCAGAATCCAGTGAGAATTACTAGGTGATGAAGCATAAGTACAGACAGGACAGAGAAGTTTGAACTATCAGGAAGGGATTTAAATGTCAACCTAGAGGTTGGATTTTATAGTGTAAGTAATCCTAAAGACTGTGGCAATATTTTAAAAACTATCTAATAATGGAGCTTCACAAGAGGTAATGAGATTTAGTAAGAGTCTGAGAATAAGAAAAAAAAATAACTGGCTAGCAGATCATTTTCTTGCTTTCATATACAAATTTCCTATCTGTAAGGAAACATTTAAATTATTACCTGGTCACTCAGAGTACACTGTTCTGTGCAAATATCAGTGATAAGATTTCGAGCTTGTTTAGCCATTTCATCCAGAAACATGTTACATAAGGAAAGACTTCGATCTCCAATATGATGTCGCTGTTAAAGCAGAATAATAATAATAGTTACCAAAAAGTAGTTTGAAATAAAACACTTTTTAAATAAACACAGAAAATAAGGTTAAAGTCTATTCTACAATAAGGAGTGGGGGTTCAAGATTATTACATACATTACTTTTGTGCTGCTAGAATAAATGTAAGATAATATAAAAGAATGTAAAATACTTCAACATAAAAAATAACTGTTCCTAAATCTATCATGATACCTTAAAATGTATTTTAAGATGCCCTTTAAAACTTTAAAGGGGATGTAGAAGCCAGATACAATTAAATATTGATTCACTTACATAAGGAGAGATTTCAAATTATAAATAGTTACAGCCCTGTTTAAGCAAATTCTGACTCCTGAAAGATAAACTGTATCTCTCACTATTACTTCTTCCTGAAAAAAAGAACACTGAACTAGCATTGCTTTACTAGACTAACTTATTTAAGACACAGGTCTGATTTCACCACCTCCCTCAATGGCTGAGAAATACTGAGACTGAAAAACAAAACCAATAGGATTTCTTAACATGTCACAAGTTTCTCTATGATCTGCCCTCTGCCTCTAGCTGCAGTGCTGAGAAGAGACTTTAGGACAACGGCAGAAACACAGGGACCTTAGCAGACTACAACAATAATCCAGGCAAAAGATGATGTGGCTTGGGCAGGGGGAGAAGAGGTAGGAGTTTGGCTATATATATAAAGATAAAGCCAAAGACAGAAAACGCTCCAAGGTTGAGGGTGAGGTAACATGTCCAAGAGCAACAGTTCTCTTCTGTACATGTTACATTTTACATAGCTAAAAATGCCTAAATGGCAACAGAATATTTAAAAAAAATTTACAACTAAAGGTAAAGGACTGGGCTGAAAATACAAATTTGGGAGACATTAGCATATGAAAGATTTTTAAACAATGAGACTGGAAAAGATGAGTGAACTACTATACTGGGTAGTACAGACAGAGCAACACAATGACTAGTTTTCCTTTAGTGCTGGATGCCATTATCCCGGGCTCCTGCTGACCCAGCAGGGTGTAAATTTCAAATCTAGTTCAAAAGATACTATCTTTCTGCAAATTTATTTTAAGTATTCCAACTCAAAATGAGGTTTCAGCATTAAGAAATTGTTCTGGAGGCTTTTTCTATAATGCCTCTGATGTAAATAAATTCAAAGGCTAAAACTAAAATTATAAAGCCAGACTGCACTGAGAACTATGCACATCAACTTACTCTGTCCTCACCCTGAGGTGAATTTCCCCAATGCTCCCACAGTGCCTCATGTATATTTCTACCACAGCACAGATCATCAGACCATGGGTTGGTCTAGGGCCGTGGTCGGCAAACTGCAGCTTGCAAGCCACATGCGGCTCTTTGGCCCCTTGAGTGTGGCTCTTCCTAAGCCTTAGGAGTACCCTAATTAAGTTAATAACAATGTACCTACCTATATAGTTTAAGTTTAAAAAATCTGGCTCTCAAAAGAAATTTCAATCGTTGTACTGTTGATATTTGGCTCTGTTGACTAATGAGTTTGCCGACCACTGGTCTAGGGTAGAGACTGTGTCTTTGCATCTTTCATTCACAGCATTTAACAAGGCAGATGGGAAATAACAGTCTTTAACAAATTAGCTAAATGGAAAATAGAACAGTGACACTGACTAGCTACATGACTATAGGGAGACTTTCTTCAGAGACTTTCTTCATCTGTAAACTAAGAATGATTATCAGCAGTATTGTTGCCACTTTGTCATAGCAATCAAATGCAAAAAAGGATGGGAGAATGTTGTACAAATTGCATGCTTCTATATAAATATAAACACATTATTAATTACTTGTTATAATTACTTAATAAGAATTGAGTATTATCCTATTTAGGAACTATAACTTTACCAACTAAATGAAGCAGAAACATTATGATATAAAGTAGATAATGATAGATATTACAATATAAAATGCTATGAAAATATGGAACAGGAGGGACAAATTCTAACTGGAGAAATGCTACAAATATTTTGGAAGAGGTGGGGTTTAAGCTGACCACTGAGAAAAACGTAAGAGTACAAGAGGTAAGGGTGCAATGAAATGAATTTTATGTGTTAGGAAAAACCTTTAAAAGGCTAAAAAGTAGACAATTAGTGTGCTTTGCGTAAGGTGGACTAGTTATAGTTCATAGGAAGTGGAAAGTGTATGATAAAACGAGGGTAGAGTCCATCCAGATGAGTGGATAAACAAAATGTGGTAAACACATAGAATAGATTATTATTCAGCCATAAAAAAGAAAGTGCTCATATGTGCTATAACATGGATGAGTCTTGAAACATTATGCTCAGTAAGAAACAAAAGGACAAACATTCTGATACCACTTATATGAATGATCTAAAATAGGCAGATTCAAAGAGATAGACAGTAGACTAGGGTATACCAAGGGTAGGAGGGATGAGGAATTACTGCTTAATGGTTCCAGAGTTTTTGCTTGGGGTGATGAAAGTTTTGAAAATGGGTAGTGGTGATGGCTGCACAATACTGTGAAGGTAATTAATGCCATTGAACTGTACATTTAAAAATAATTAAAATAGCAAAGTTTGATGTTAGATATACATGCATTTTTTAAACACAAAAATTTTTAATGACAATAAAAAGAAGGGGGTAAAGATCAAATTGTTGAGGATTTTAAGTGCCTGAGAATTTTTACTTTCTTCGAATGCAATTAAGAACCACTGATGATTCTTTAAGAAGGAATCATCTGGTGGCATTGTACTAGGTAGACTTAAAGGCAGGAAAACTGTTCAACAGTACATATAAAGAACTACAAAAATGACAAAAGCAATGGAAAGTAGAGGATGTATTCAAGAAATGATACCACACAAATAAAATTGGAGGACTTCATGGGTAATTTAATGAAAAAGATTATGGTGAAGAAAAATTTAATAGTATATCTTAGGTAAATAAAGCTTGGGGGAAAGCTATTAAATCTAAAAACTATAAATCTATTAAAATTGGGTATTAATATCCTCACAGTTATTAATCCTAAAAGCACTCCCTAATAAACTTCTGCAGGCTAATCTCTCTCTCATTCCAATGGATTCTGCAACAGATGTTATGTAATACTTAAAAATATTAATAATGCTACTGCTATCTGTAAGTTTCTCTTCTACAAGTTCTATAGTTTTAAGTAAAGAGACTCAATACTAATTAAATTATACAGAAATATACTATTTAATTTTAATATATATTCTTACTACATTTAAACAGTGATACTTGTTCCTTAAACATTAGAAGGAACATCAGTATCTATCAAAAATACTGAGTTCATTTTTGATAAATATTTGGCATCAATAAAACTGATTAGTTCAGCCCTAGCTGGTTTGGCTCAGTGGATAGAGCATCGGCCTGTGGACTAAAGGGTCCCAGGTTCGATTCCAGCCAAGGACACATGCCTGGGTTGTGGGCTCAATCCCCACCCCCAGTAGGGGGCGGGCAGGAGGCCAATCAATGATTCTCTCTCATCATTGATGTTTCTATCTCTCTATCCCTCTCCCTTCCTCTCTGAAATCAATAAAAATATATTTAAAAAAAACACTGATTAGTTCAATTATTCAATAATTCTCTGTGCCTGCATGCTAGCGTGTGTATGTCTTACAAATACCAGCAAATTTAGATTTTACTATATCCATTGTATTGGTAAGTCAGTAAAATTAATCTTTGACATGTTTATGTTTAGTCACTAATCTGTGCATTCAATTTGCAAGTTCTGCCTGGCTGGCATGACTCAGTGGGTACATGCCCAGGTTGCAGGCTTGATCCCCAATGTGGGGCATACAGGAAGCAGCCGATCAATGATTCTCTCTCATTGATGTTTCTATTTCCCCTCTCCCTCTCTGAAATCAATAAAAATAAATATTTTTTTTAATTTGCAAGTCTTTCCAAAGTAACCTAAGAAAATAAGCATACAAAATAAGTTACTGTATATATTTTTACCATACATATTATTACCTGACCCACGATTTACTTTAATAAAGGTAATTTCAAGTGACCTTATGATATATTCTTATAAATACTTATCCATCTATTAAAATATCTATTATATCTATATCAAATACCTATTCAAGTATTCTGATTCTATATACAGATGCATTAGATGGGAAGCTAAATTAGGTATACATGACTTTGTGAGCATTTGGTCAGCTACATGTTAGGTTTACTTTATTCTGCATACCATATAAATCAGAGTAGTACCCTGAAATTACCTCTTCTGGACACAGTTCATGTGTGCAACTCATAAAATGAGTGCAAAGCAGTGGAAATGCAATTGAGTATCTTGACTGAGAGGGTAACTCCAAACACTGTTGAAACATCTTCTCAAAAGCACGACTATAAAAACTATATAAGAAAACAAATTAAAAATTAGAATCAACTGTTATAGTTAAAATTTTCATGATATAGTACCTTATAGTTAATTTGATTCAAGTGAATGAAAGTCACCAATTGGTAGCATTATTCCCTTAAAGAATAGTTATTTTTCCAAAGAGTAACTATTACACACTGATAATCACTCCAGAGTAATAAAAATATTATTTGTATAATATATTACAAATTTAAAAAAACCTAAACAGAAAATAAACCATACATATATTATATGAATATATGACTTTCTAATTGTTGTATCTTTCTTATACACTAGGAACCTTTCTGTAGCTCAAAAATATCTATTTATATAAAAGCCTAAGCGACCAGCCGACCACCCAGTAGCTATGATGCACACTGACCACCAGGGGGCAGGCGCTCAATGTAGGAGTGGAAACCACAGGCGTGGAAACATGGAACAAACTGATGAATCTCAGAGGGAAGGGGGGAGGGGGGAGTGCAGGAAGAGATTAACCGAAGATCTTATATGCATACTAGAGTCCTGGTGCATGGATTCGTGCACCGGTGGGGTTCCTCGGCCTGGCCTGCATGTATCGAGCTGAAACCAAGCCAAAACCGGCTCTCCAACATCCCCCAAGGGGTCCCAGATTACGAGAGGGCGCAGGCCAGGCAGAGGGACCCCACGAATCTGTGCACCGGGCCTCTAGTGTAAATATAAAGTGTTCTATTTTCTTCCCAAGGAAGCCTTTGGGACAGACAATAATATACATTTCCAAATAACCTTAAAAATTTTTGTAAATTTGACACGTGATATACTGTGGTTTGAGGTTTTTTTTTTAGTTCTTTAAGAGACTCCTGATGCCTTCCCTGGATTTCTTCTGCAATACTGCTAATTAAGCCACCCTAACAAACTGCCAAAATCAGTATGAACTGAGTTATTTTCCAAAATAAAAGCAATGAAAAGCTTTTCATAATGACAGCTAGTCAATACATAGTAACTACTATCATTATCCACTGGGATTATCTCAGCATTTTAGAAATAAAGGGACAAAGTACTAGGTTATTCCAATAAACTTCCCTAAAGGAATAAAGGCCAAGAAGCAGAAATAGAGTTGATATTGTATAGCTATGGAGCCAGAATACTTGAGTTTGAATCCTGGCCTCATCATCAAATTCATATATTCATTCAAACATTTATTAATTCCCTACTATGTTAGACACTATGGAAATAAAACATGATCCTCCTTCAAGGACCATATAATGAGGGGGAAAAGAAAGGGGTAAAACTTAAAAACTACTAAGTATAACTAAAGAGGCTCTGATAAAGGCAAAGGAGAATGGAACACAATTCAGGGAATAGTCACTATATCATCATAATATTAATGTCTAATTTAATACTAGAGAGTGAAATTAGTTGGTATTTTATTTCCAACATTTACTCTATTTAACGCTAATCTACAACTTTTTTTTTTTTTTTGCTTAATCTAATGATGAAAGAGGAAGGGCCTTAAATCAAATTTGAAGTGACTGTTTTCACCTCCTCAAAAAAGTGTAAAAAATTCACACCAGAAGAGCTATTCTAAATAGAGAATTAAAAATAAACATAAAATCCCAAATTGGTAAACTTGTTTTTAAAAATATATTTTTATTGATTTCAGAGAGGGAGAGGGAGAGAGAGATAGAAACATCAATGATGAGAGAGAATCATTGATCAGCTGCCTCCTGCATGCCCCCTACTAGGGATCCAGTCATGTGCCCTTGATCAGAATCCAACCTGGGACTCTTCAGTCCGCAGACCGACGCTCTATTCACTGAGCAAAACCAGCTAGGGAAGTAAACTTTTTTGTTAGCAAGCTGTCCACTATTCCCTTTATTCTTATGCCCTAGCCCTGGTCAGAACATGTGCAGGAGGCAACCAATCAATGTGTCTCGCTCACATCAATGTTTCTCTCTGTCTCTCCCCCTCCCTTCCACTCTCTAAAAATCAATGGAAAAATATCCTCCAGTGAGGATTTTTTTAAAAAGTTTATTATTACTGAACTGTCTTAAGAATTATATTAATATTAAAAAAGAAATCAAGAGAGATACCTGTAGATACTAAAACATCTTAAATTCTGATTTAAAGATAATCATAACATACCAAAATATGGAGAGATCTGATGTTTCCACCAACATTTCCACCAAGGAATCCACCATTTTTGTATGAAAAATTATCGTATTCATCATCTTTCCAAGTTCTCTATGATCTGCAAGGCTAAGCGAAGCCTTAGAGACACTAGTATATGCCTATAAAAGTACAGCAAAAAACAAAAGTAGTTTAAAGTACAAACCAATGAATTTAGCCTTGTAATTCTACATGTAGAAAAAACACACCCACTATTGAAAAATACTTATTTTATTAATTAAAATAAGTATCAGTACCATCACTTTGTAAAGATCTGCTCCTGTTGTAGTAATATTTTACAACTAAAAAAGTCTCTAAACTTGCCTTTTCCTCACTGTTTGCCCTTTTCCTATGTAAGCCAGTTTTCTTCAAATTCTAATCATCTTTCACTGTCTGGGTAAAATGTTACTTTCTCTATTAGCCATTACTAGCAATTTCAACTTGAAGAAAGGCTTTTTCTATACTAGCAATTTTCAACCAGTGTGCCACACGAATTTTTAAAACATGCAATAACTAACTCTTTAGGTCAGGGGCACTGAACTCCTTTCCCTTAGGATGTCAAAGAAAATTTTTTTAATGACAAAAGCCAACACAATAGCCATCTGGTGTGAATGAATCAAAATTATACCTATATTTTTTGTCAGATCAGCAAGAAATATTTGTTGGTGTGCCACAGAACTTTAGTAATTAGTTTATGTGTGCCATGAGATGAAAAGGGTTCAAAATTGCTGATCTATACAAACCTCCTAAATTCTGGACACTACCTCCCATCTTGCACTTTTGCCCTCTTTCCCTATACAAGACTTCTCTGGCTTAGTTGTATGTCCCATTCTTTCCCTCCTTAGTATGCTTTGTCCTGTTGTCACTAAAAAAAACGAGTCTACTATGCAGTAGAAAGGGGCTGAGTGACTGTATGTCCCAATTATGGTTAAGAGCAATGTTATAGGTTGAAATTTGTCCCCCATAAAGGTATGCTGAACTCATATTCCCCAGTACCTCAAAGTGTGACCTTATTTGGAAACTGAGTCCTTACAGAGGTAATGAAGTTAAAATAAGGTCATTAGAGAAGGACCTAATCCACTATGACTATTGTCCTTATCAAAATAAGAAATTTGAACCAGATACATATGCATATAAGGAAGACTATGTAAGGAGAAACAGGAAAAATGCCATTAGAGTAATGCATATACAAGCCAAGGAACATCAAACATAGCTAGCAAATCACCAGACTCTTGCAAAAAGGCATAAAACAGATTCTCCCTCACAGTCCTTAGAAGAAATTAACCCTGCTGACACCATGAGTTCAGATTTCTGGCCTCCAGAACTATAAGACAGTAAATTTTTACTGTTTAAGTCACTCAGTTTGTGGTTCTTTGTTATGGCAGCCCTAGGAAAAGAATACAGGCAACTACGGAATACAAGAAAGAATCAGATAGCAGGTAATGTACTTATAGATATCTTGAAAACCTATCTACAATAATAAAAGCATAATATGCAAATTGACTGAACAGCAGAACGACCGTCCAGAAGACAACGCTATGATATGCACTGTCGCCAGGCCAGCCAAGGCGGGTGCGATGAGATTGGTCGAGGGGCGCCGCCATCGCCCCACGATCACCCCGCAGAGGGAGGCCCAGGCCACTGGCCGGTGGGGCGATCGATGGAGGGGACGGGGGTGGCGGCGATCAATCACAGAGCCCTGGCTGAGTGGCAGGGCCTCCCTCTGCTGGGCGATAGATCTGGAGGCCCCGTGATCAACCGCCCCACAGAGGGAGGCCCAGGCCACCAGCCAGCGAGCCGCCATCGCCCCACGATCACCCCGCAGAGGGAGGCCCAGGCCACTGGCCGGTGGGGCGATCGATGGAGGGGACGGGGGTGGCGGCGATCAATCACAGAGCCCTGGCTGAGTGGCAGGGCCTCCCTCTGCTGGGCGATAGATCTGGAGGCCCCGTGATCAACCGCCCCACAGAGGGAGGCCCAGGCCACCAGCCAGCGACGACGTGGCGAGTGTGCGGGGCCGGCCAGCGATCACCCCGCAGAGGAGCCCCAGGCCAGCCAGGCGATTGCACCCCACACCTGTCGCCCACAGAGGGAGGCGACCGGTGGTGGGGGAGGAGGAGAGTAGTGCTGCACAGATGGCAAGCAGTGGCAGTGGCGGGGGCAGGCCCAGCTTCTGGCAGCCAGGGGAAGGAAAGCCCTGATAGGCTCTGATTGAAAGCCAGGCCTTGGGACCCTACCTGAGGGGTCCCAGGTTGCGAGAGAGCGCAGGCCAGGCTGAGGGACACCCCACCCCTTGCATGAATTTCGTGCACCAGACCTCTAGTCTCTATATATAAAAGCCTAAGCAACTGTTAGGACTGGTCAACCAAAGCAGGAGCTGCCCCCTGGTGGTCAGTGCGCTCCCACAGCCAACATCCTGTGGCTGGCCAACCTCCTGCGGTCCCTCACCGCCCCCCCAGCCAACTTCCCACAGTCTCCCCCCACCTCCCCGGCCAGCTGGCCCTGTGGGGTATTCGTGGGGCAATGGCGGGGCCCCTCGACCAATCTCATTGCACCCGCCTTGGCAGGCCTGGTGACAGTGCGTATCATAGTGGGGGCAGCCAGCCAGGCAGAGGGACCCCACCTGTGCATGAATTCATGCACCAGGCCTCTAGTATAAAAATAAAATCGTACACAGGGACATATAGTTCTACATTCTTAATGCTCACTCAAATGCTCTATATTCTAACATACTGAATAAAGCTAAAATTCTCAAGTGACTCATTCAAAATGGATAAGTTTAATAATCTTGGATGTATTTAATAAGGAAAATTTAAAATGCATCTGGCCCTGGCTGGTGTGGCTCAATTGGCTAGACATCCTCCCATGCACTAAAGGTCGCAGGTTCAATTCCTGGTCAGGGCACATATCCAGGTTTCAGGCTCAGTCCCTGGTTGGAAGGGCATACAAGAGGCTACCAATCGATGGTATGCTCTCACATTAATCTTTCTCTTTCTCTCTCCCTCTCCCTTCCTCTCTCTCTCTAAAAATCAATAAAAATAGAGAGGGCGAGAGATAGAAACATCAATGATGAGAGAGAATCATTAATCAGCTGCTTCCTGCATGCCCCACACTGGGGAGTGAGCCCTCAATCCTAGGCATGTGCCCCGACCAGAAATCGAACTGTGACCTCCTGGTTCATAGGTCGATGCTCAATGACAAAGCCACGCCAGCCAGGCAATAAAAATAAATAAAATGCATCTAAACCTCCAAATTTCTCTGAATATAAATGTTTCTAGGTACTCTCATAAACTGAGAGCAGGAAACTGAAACAGTTCAAGCTATGACAATGACTTTTAAAATGTTTAATGTGTATATATCCTTTGGCTGAGCAATTCTACTATTTTCACTTTATAAGGTCTACTGCTGTACTGTTTCAGAGCTTTTGAAAAACAAAGAAATGTTTTAAATGTATTTGTCATTATTGATAGTATTAAGATATCTCCCATTCTCCCCTCTTTGACCCCCTTAAGAAATGTTCATTAGCTGCCCTAGCCGTTTTGGCTCAGTGGATAGAGCATTGGCCTATGGACCAAAGGGTCCCAGGTTCCATTCCGGTCAAGGGCACAGACCTTGGTTGCAGGCTCCTCCCTGGCCTGGGGCCTGGTCAGGGCTCATGAAGGAGACAACCAATCAATGTGTTTCTCTCTCTTTCCCTCTCTCCTCCACTCTTTCTAAAAAAAAATCAATGGAAAAATATCCTTAGGTGAAGACTTAAAAAAAGAAATGTTCATTTCTAAACTTTATTTTTAATAGGAAAAAAATAGTGATGGAAGGAGACTTGACCTGGGTTGGTGAACACACAATACAATGATTGATGATTTATGTATTCTAGAATTGTACACCTGAAAGCTGTATAATGTCTACCCAATAAATTCAATAAAGATTTTAAAAAACTAAAAATATCTTTAAAAGGAAAGAAAATAACCTATAACATATTCACATGTAATATTTTGGGAGAGTGTTATTTCAAGTGTTCTTCCTGATCTCCCACCAACCAGTTCTGTAACCTCGGGCAAATTACTTAATACTTGTGGCCTCATTTATAAAACCATTTCTAAGAATATGCTGCCATAGAACACAGAACAAGAGAGAGAAAACTGCCTGTGTATTTTGAGGTTGAAAAGAACCTAAGAAAAGCAAAAGCACCTAAGGGAACTAAGCAGACTGCCAGGAAAGTATGCTCTTCCTAGAACCCAGCCCTTCCTGAGACTAAGGTCATTTAAAATGTCTTCCACAAACACATACTGCTTATATTTTCATGTTTTAATTAAACAAATAAAAATTTTATTCTTTAAGTCGCAGAACAAAATATACAGTATAATCTCATTTACGTTTGGACACCTAAAAGGATATGACATTATTAAAAGTGAGTACTGCTGGGGAATGGGAAAAGTGTAAACTTTCATTTTCTACTTTACCTCTGGATACTTTGACTTTTTATAATAACAGACTAATATACATTTTTTTTTTAAATATGAGGTTATTAGAAACACTGGGCCACCATTTTCCCATAATTACTAGAAATATTTAGGGGCAATTAAATTCTACCATTAAATTCACATACATACAAAGATTTCAGGCTTGAATTTTAAAAGCCTCAAAAACTATTTATGTGAGAATTATAAATTAAATGAAAATATTTAAAGTCCAATACTTTATTAGTATTTAATTCTGCATTTCAGAAAAATGAAGTTTTAGACAACAGATCAGGAAATAATAAACTATGGCCTGTGATCCAGTTGATTGTTTATTTTATAAGGTTTTATTGGAATGCACTGGGCCCCTAGTATAGATATAGATATAGATATAGATATAGATATAGATATAACAGATACATTGAAAGATGTTCAACATTACTAATCACATGGGTTCAACATTACTAATCACATGGAAATGCAAATCAAAACCACAGTAAGTTATCACCTCACACTGTTAGAATGGCTATTATCAAAAACACAAGAGATAAGTGTTGGTGAGGATGTGGAGAAAAGGAAACTGTGCATTACTGGTGAGAATGTAAATGGGTACAGCCACTATGGAAAACAGTAATGAAGATTTCTCAAAAAATTAAAGACACGCCCTGACCAGTTTGGCTCAGTGGATAGAGCGTCGGCCTGCGGGCTCAAGGGTCCCAGGTTCGATTCCAGTCAGGGGCATGTACCTTGGATGCGGGCACATCCCCAGTGGGGGGTGTGCAGGAGGCAGCTGATCGATGTTTCTCTCTCATCGATGTTTCTAACTTTCTATCCCTCTCCCTTCCTCTCTGTAAAAAATCAATAAAATATATATTTTTTTAAAAATTAAAAAATTAAAGACACAACTAACTTATATGATCCAGCAAGTCCTCTTCTAAGTATTTATCCAAAGGAAATGAAAACACTAACTCAAAAAGATATCTGTATCCTCATGTTCACACTGCAGCATCATTTACAATAGGCAGCATGCGCGCGTGTGTGTTTATGCACACACTGAAATATTAGTCAGCCATAAAAAAGAAATTCTGCCTTTTGCAACAACATGGATGGACCCTGAATGCATTATGCTAAGTGAAATAAGTGAAACAAAGAAAAACAAAGACTGTATGACTTCGCTTATATGGGAAATCTAAAAAAAATAAAAAATAAAAAAAATAAACTCATAAAGACAACTGGTGGTTGCCATAGGCAGGGAGCTGGGATTGAGTGAAATGGGTGAAGGTGGTCAAAAGGTAAACTTCCAGTTAAATAAGTCCTCAGGATATAATGTACAGTATGGTGACCAGAGTTAATAATCCTATATAATAAAGAGGCGATATGCAAATTAACCCTCATGCCCTCACAAGATGGCTGCCTACGACCAGGCCGGCAGGGGGGTTAGTAAGGGACAACCAAACGACTGAACAAGCAGACTGCGTGGGACGACCAGGCCAGCGGGAGGGCAGTTGGGGGTGACCAGGCCAGCAGGGGGG